AGTGTATTCTGAAGATATTGATTTTGCTCGATCTATTTCCCACTTCCTTTGTAACGACCCCTAATAATCTTCATAATGAAGCTAAATCAATACTAACACAAGTGTGGAATTCAGCATTTGGAAAAACCCAGGTAATCCTTCATTCTATCCATGCATGAATATCAATTGCATTTCTGCAGTCTGCTTCAGTGCTTAGATAAGGCAAGTACAATCCTTGCTGTGTGAATGATAAAATATATCTAAGATGACATTAAAAATCACCATTACCATCTTTTTCGGTATCATTATTATCCTCGCTACTAACAATTGAGAATTTCCTAAATGCCAAGCCTCCTAGCATTTTCTATGTATTAATTCATTTAATCTTTCCAGCAAAGTTGTAAATAGGCAATACTATTTTCCCCAGACTCCCAAGACCCTAAGAAATGCATAAATGTAAAAAGTTAATTTCAATGCAATGCGATGTTATGAATTATATGTGATGTTTAAAATAATGCCTCAAAGCAGCCTTTGGTGCTAATATGCAGAGAATTAAGATTCTTTTTTTTCCCACAAACCCCAGTTTTTCAGAGAGAGAGAGAGAGAGAGACAGAGAGAGCCCAAAAATCTTTAAATATTTTTATTTTCAATTTTATCTCTTACTTTTCTAACTTTTCAAGGACAGAGTCACCGGTGGTAATGGTTACAATTGCTTCACATAAGTGATGTTTGAGAAGTTATTTGTTCAGATAGAGAAGGTAATACAGATGCTGTGATGTGATCTGGCGCCTTCCCGAATAGGGGGAAAGGGCATACCAATTGAGACGTAAGCAAAGGAGCTCTCCTTGGGAATTTAAAGCCCTGTTTCATTTTCTGACCTCACTACATAGACTTTCACACCATCCAGAGCTGCCATTGGATAATAACTGTGTCCAATAACCCCAGGGACCCAACCAATTTATCATGGACGCTGCTGGAGAGATTTTCGGTTTCTTGCACCCCAGTCTTAGGCTGTGGGGTCTAGGGAAGCCAAAGGGTTGCTAATTGCCATGTTAAATTCTCCTGGCCTCAGCTCTTCTCTCCCTTGTGTCTCTCAATCTCTCAGTCCAATTGGGGACGTCTGTGGGAATTTATCCGCACGCCAGGAGCTCAAAAAGCATTTACTGCTAGCCCGTGTGTATCAGCAGAGGAGAAAGGTGGTTTCCGCCAGGGTGGCTGTGCTCTGCATTTTATGATGCCACTTCCTAATGGGAGGTTGCAATCTTCTGCTGACTGTAAGATAAAAGGGGCAGGAATTCACAACAACTTGTGTTTGGGGAAATGTTTTCTTGAATTTAAGGTTATCCATCACGATAACAGTTATTACTAATGTCCTTATCTGATATTGTCTAAATAAAGTCTATTAACTGACTTTACATTGCTGGGCCCCATTGCTCTAACTTTATTATAGCTGTCGATACCCTGTTCAAAATAATAATTCTAGCATTGATTTCTACTTCTTCTTTGCTTAAAGACCTCTAGACATCTGCACTGGATTTCTAGAATTTAAAATATTTGTGACATTGGGTGGAGGCTTTAAGAAGATATTATGTCAACAAAATCTGTAGGTTCTTTTTTATGCAGTGGTTTAGACAATTTAATTATGTTCCATAAAACACACAATAGGAAGTTCAGGGTACCTTCAAGCTTAAAATGTCTTCTAGACATTTTGGATATATTTGCAACCTTTTCCCAAATTCACCCTGTAAATATGAAAAAGTCTACTTAACAATAATTATTCATGACACCACCTTGACCCTCCCTTTAAAGTGACCTAAAAGGCATGTAAAAACACTCTTCTTTCTATAGTGTATATAAAACACTACAATTCCTTTCAGTGAGAATGTATTTGACAAGTGAAGACGCTTTTTCAGGTTCAAGAGAATGATGGTATTTGCACCAAAAGCAAGGTCACATTACTAACTTTCATTTCTAGGCAGAAGCAGAAGAGGCAGTGAGATGATGTTTAGGTGCATTTGAATATTGCACACGACTGATGTAATGAAAGTTGGCTATAATGTGGGATACAGGGTGTTACTGTAATCTAGCCACCAGAACGGATGTCTCAAGGGGACCTGGCGTTGTTCTTGGGGGTATGTTCTCCAAACCAAAGGATGGGAGCTATTTTCCACAATCACTAAGGAGACAGAGGTCTGCAGTTCATTCTCAAATAATCGTTCTTTGTTCTAGCCTCTCTATAGTTCCTTGCCTTGTAGAGGTAACTAAGGTTCCAGTCTTTTCAGGTGCCTATCCAATGTGGTAGAAAGGTGCCAGCTTTGAATTGAAGACACTGCAGCTGTGGCGTGGTTTCTACCACTAAAAAGGTAGAAGACCCTGGGCTAATTTATGAATATTTTCAAGCTACAGATTCTCTATATGAAAAAAAAAATGAAATTAAAGTTCTCCAGTCTTGCAGAATCATTTGTGAGAACTGTATAAAACTTAATGAATGAGCTGCTCATATTTTGGATATGAAGTTTCCCCCAAAGGCTCATGCATTAAAAGCATGGTTGCCAGCCTGTGGTGGTACTGGGAGATGGTGACACTCTTCCAGCTGATCCCTACAGGACTGCTTCAAGATTGTTGGCAGTGTGGCCTCGAAAGGAATATTAAGAGTCCAGCCCTTTCTCTCTCTTTTTGCTTCCTACCAGCCAGGAGGAAAAGAGCCTTGCTCTCTTTAACTCTGTGTGCACTACCGTTATCTTCCATCCCACTGTAGGGTCTTCATGATAGGGACAAGCAAGGGAGGAGGAAGCAGAGAGGGTTTTCTAATAAGACTCACCTTACTTTGAACAAGGATAAGGAGGCAAACAAATAATACGATGGGGGCAAGAAATGAATAGAATATTACCCATTAAAAGTGAAATTTCTTTCTTCCTTTTTAAAAGATATTTTTTAGTTTGTTGTTGTTTTTGTGTGCATGTGTATCTGTGTGGGGTCTATGCACATGACTGTAGGTGCCTGTGGATGCTAGGAGCATTGGATTCCTCGGATCTAGAACTACAAGGCATTGTGAGTGGTGCAGCCTAAGTGCTTGGAACAATATATGCTTTTCCCCACTGAGCCATGTCTCCAGGCACGTGGACACATGGGATTTCTTTTTCTCTGCCTTCTTTTGACAACAACTTAGAATGTGTTCTTCCCTTACTGTCCAAGGCACGAAATTAGCCAGATGCAAACTGGCATCACGTCGTCACTATTTGCTGATCAATATCACAAGAATGATATCTCCTAAGACAAGATCAAAGCATTTCTAAATATACTCATGACCAACTAGAAAATTGTGAACCCCACCCCATCTCAGCAACCAGATTAAAATACCCCTTCCTCTGGGGGTATAGAGGGGAATAGACTCACAAGAGTGAGGCTTGCAGAACTCAGGAATATCACGAAACTTACAAGACTCAGAGAACACTTGAAACTTACAAGATTGCTTTCCAAGGCAGAAGTAATTGCTAGAGGAGATTGTTAGGATTGCGCAGCAAAGTGCACAAATCACTCCATGCAACTGGTTCCATGTGGGAGGTTTATTATGGGAAGGGGTCACAGAGACTGTCTCTCGGTAGGCGGTGAGAATAAAGCTGAGTCACACATGCTCCTATAAATATCTTTTCACTCATGTGCCTTCAAGTTACCCAATTGGTTCAGTTCACCAAGCTATATTTGGTAGAATCATTTCTTCAGGTTTCCTCCATTGTTTCTCTATATGGAGTGGACATAAGTTTTTATGTTTTCTGAGGAAAAGTCACAGAACATCAGAGATGTCTCCACCAGCCTTTAGAAAACAGGAAAATCTCTGAACTTACTTAGAAATTTTAGTTCAGTTCTATGGTTTGAATGTGTCACTTCCAGTTTCAGGTGTGGAAAATAATGGCCAATGTAAAAGTGTTGACAAGTAGAGACTTTAACAGTGATCAGACCATCAGGACTTGGTATGGTTTCAGACTCCTTGGTTGCTTTCTCTTCTACTTTATGCCATGTGAAGACACAATAGTCCTCTCCTTCAAAGGACACACAGCAAGAAGCTATCATGGAAGCAGAAAGGAGTCCATGCCAGATAAGTAAGCCTGTTGCTGTCTTGGTGTTAAATTTGAGTCATCAGAACTATGGAAGCAGGTTTCCATTCTTCATCAGTTATTCATTATCATGTTATTTGTTTGTTTTTGATTTTCATTTCAGTGTTATGTCTCTCTCTCTCTCTTTCTCTCTGTGTTTGTGTGTGTGTGCATATGGAGGTAGAAGCCATGCTGATGTTAGCTTCCACTTTATTAATTTACTCTCCACTTTATTAATTTATGAGACAGAGTTCTGATTGAACCTGGAGCTCCAGGAGTTCTTGTCTAGGCAATGAGCGCCAAGGATCTGTCTCTGTAGAGATAAGATTATAGACCTGCCATGATTTTATGTGGGTGCTGGACATCTGAACTCGGGTTCTCATGCTTGCCCCAAAGTAACTAATACACATCACCCCAGCTTCCAATCACCTGTTCTGTTACAGCAGTGCAAAAGGAATGAGATATTTACTCTCCATTTCTATGACTATGTTTCTTCAAGTTTTTAATGTAGGAGCATACATGATCCTCAGTGGGCCATTGTGAGGCTTTATTGAATAATTGGCAAGGTCTGACCAATAGTGATAGTGGCAATAGTGATACTGAGAATAGAACTTTCATTTAAGTCTCACAACATACAACCATCTGGATATGTCAAAGTTCCTGGTGGTTAAGTAAGTTTTAAAATATCATATGACTGGGAAAACTCAGGTTTTTGAACTAGGCTCATTTTAACCAGTGTTCCACTTTTAGGCTACATAATGCTATAACAATTCTACTTTGTTAGAAGTAATATATATATATATATATATATAATGTATATATACTATATACTATATATTATATATTATATACTATATATTATATATTATATTATATATTATATAATATAGAATATATTATATATTCTATATTATATATATTATAGGTATATTATATATATATATACCTAATTGGGAGGCATTGCCTTTATCAGCTGAGGTAATTTGGCAGAAAGAGTAAGTTTACACTCCAGAGTGGGCTGTCTCACCTACTGTGATTCATTGCTATCTTGTGGCCTACATTTTGAAGGAAAAAAAAGAAGTATAAAATGGGGACTAGAGAAATAGTCCAGTAATTAAGAGCACTTAATGCTCTTGCAGAAGACCTGGAGATTTTTTTTTCCCAGTACCCACTTGGTGGCTCACTATCATCAATTTCAGTTATAGAGGATCAACACCCCCTTCTGGCTTCCTCAGATACCAGGCATACATGGCATGCACACACATACATGCAGCCAAAACACTCATATACATTAAAAAGAAAAAGAATTCTCCACATGTGCATTATGGATGGATAGATGGTTCAGCAGTCATTAAGTGCACTGGCTGCTCTTGTAGAGGACCTAGGTTCAATTCCCAGCACCAACATGGTGGATCACAAGCTCCAGGGGATCCAGTGTTCTCCTCTGGCCTCTTGACTACTGCATGTTCATGAGATGAACATACATGCATGAAAGACATTCATACCCAAAATAAAAATAATACAGTTCCCCCTCTTTACAAAAAAGCATTGAATGATTCTTGTGAGTTACCTGATGACCATTTTACTTCATATGTACAATCAATGAAGCACTCATCGTGTCTTATGACATAGATTTTATTTTTTTGTGTCTCATCCACAGTGAGCAGGGAACAGTTTAAGGACAGAGATCAAGCTTTCTGAATTCAAGAGATATGAATCCTGGCACATAGTAGATGCCAAAAAAAAGTCTTTTGAACAAAAGTATTTGAAGAATATATGCCATGTACAATAAAGCAGAACAGGGCAAAAAATTGGCGTAATTCAGCTGTATGGAATAAAAGCAGACAGTAGTGAATATCTCTGGGTTATAGTCAAGACAATATGATGAGGAGATGTTGAAAGCAAGATACTAGTTCTGCCCTAGGTAGGAATTTCATTTTCAGGTACTTCCTTCTGTCACAGGTGCTCTGAGGTAAGATTATAATGGTTCGTCTGAGGAACAGAATTAAAAACCAATCAATATCTTTATACCAAGAAAAATTTGAGACTTAAAAGAGACTTGGATATTAAATTTAGACCTTATAGAGACTATTAGAATTCAAAGACAGCCTAGGAGAAATGGGCTGTAGTTGATGTTTCCTATTAAAATGTATCCCATCCATCATCCTAATAGACCATCCATATGATTTGTCCATCACATTGTAAGAACAAAATGCTATCTTATCTCCTTGATACTATGTCTTTAGAAAAAAGGAGAAAGAATGCAGTGGGTCTGGGGAGGAAGATTCTTCCACACTGTTTCTTTACCAATTTTTTTTTTTAAGTTGTTCATAACACACAAGGTCTGGCCTTGGGAGTAATCAGAGTAAACCATGAAGAAATCCCATAGGAAGCAGGCAGGGAGGATAATGTTCACTACTTTAAAAACTTACAAGGAAAGCACAGAGTCCGAGGAGATGTGAAGGTGAATAAATCCTTATGACGAGGATCAAATGAATGAATCGGTCTTACCTACCTAAATCAGAGTCTCTGGGAGATTCTGAGGTGCAAGTACGATTATGGCAGACACTGGAAAGAGGATTCTGCTATCTGAATAAATTGTGCACATGATAGGCAGACCACTGTGTCTTTTTTCCTTTTTTTAAATTCTTTATTAATTACACTTTATTCACTTTGTATCCCCCCTGTGGTTCCCTCCCTCTTCCTGTCCCTATCCCTCCCTTCCTCCACCCTCTGCATGCATGCCCGTCTCCAAGTCCACTGATAGAGGAGGTCTTCTTTTCCTTCCTTCTGATCCTAGTCAATTAGGTCTCATCAGGAGTGGCTGCAATGTCATCTTCTGTGACCTGGTAATGCTGCTTCCCCCTCAGGGGGAGGTAATTAAAGAGCAGGCCAATCAGTTCATTACTATGGAACCCACTTGGACACTGAACTGCCATGAGTTACATCTGTGCAGGGATTCTAGGTTATCTCCATGCATGGTCCTTGGTTGAAGTATCAGTCTCAGGAAAGACCCCTGTGCTCAGAGTATATACTCATATAGACATAATATAGGATAAACCTACTAAAATCTGTACACCTAAAGAAACTAATCAAAAGGGAGGACTCTTGCTAAAATGCTCAATTCCTATCCAGAAAGACAAAGAGGATGGACATCAGATGAAGGAGAAAAGATGGAACAAGTCAGGAGCCTGACACAGAGGACCTCTGAAAGGCTCTGCCCTGCAGACTATCAGTGCATATGCTGAGACTTATGGGCAACCTTTGGGCAGAGTGCAGGGAATCGAAAGAAATGGGAAGCAGTAAGATCTGGAGAGGACAGGAACTCCGCAAGGAGAGCAACAGAACCAAAAAAATCTGATCACTGTGTCTTAAGAGTGTGACCCACAATAATCATGTTGGTCTCCAGCTCAGGCTCAGTAAGGGAGGCCAGTCTGCTGTTTTCGGGGACAGAGCCATGTCTCTGCTCCTCCATACACTTTAGAGGCATTTTTGACAATGTAAAGACTCGGCTTAAAGAGAATCTTTTTCAAACAAATATTTGTTTCTAAGCTAATTTGGTCAATGTAAAACATACCATATGCAGGACGCCTCTATGATGAAAATTTGTTAAGACCAAAAATCACCACAAAAATAGAGTTCTCAGATGTCACACACAAAAATGTCACAAACACTGCTGAGAACATTCCCATTCCAAAAATGATGTTTTATTTGATTTTTTTCAATGAGGCATTTTTCAACTAAATGCAGTGACTCTCAAAAAAAAAAAAATCATGCAAAAATGGACACAGCCACTAATCCCTTCAGGAAGTCGTTCCTGCAGTAGGTGATAAGCCTTTCTCCTAAACTGAGCTGGCCTTTTTTCTAAACAGGCCAGCAGGTGTGGCCACAATTTGAACAGATGTTTCCACATGTGGGAGCTGGGGGGCAGTGAGAACCTCTCTGATGCTTCTGCCTTCTCCTTTATCTTAGTCACTGTGGCTGTGTGTGTTCAAGTTGCCCTTCTCTCTTGCCTTACTTTGGGCCTCTGCTTGGTAGAGCTGTGGGCTGTGGTATGCTATTTTCTTTCTTATGTATTTTTAGATGATTGATAAAAGCTTTTTTTTTCTTTTTCTTTTTCTTTTTTTTTTTTTTTTTTTTTGGTTTGGGGGCTCTCAGACTTTCTGGTCTGTTTTAGTGTATGATTTTATAGGATAGGGTGGAGAGAGAGAGAGAAAGAGAGAGAGAGAGAGGAGGGAGAATAGGAAAGGCATGAGTTTTAAAAACCTCAGCCAAAGGCATTTGACCTTGGCCTGGGTCTGTGTTGACATAGGAGTTGAACTGCCCTGGGGAAGACATTAAGGGGACAGAATGACTGTTTTGTCAGGTCTTATTGTTTAATTAGATCACCAGTTATATCTTAGTTTTAAAATTTTTTTGTCACATGCCATAATTTTCAGTCTTTGTATCAAACATTTTCTTAGCAGCTGCTAGTGAAAAAAAGTTTCTAGTGGTCAATCACTCAAATATTTTCTGGAAGTAATTGTACCCTGTGGCCCTCAAACGTACCATTTAGTTCCTGGTTTCTTTCCTTCAAATCATGTTAAATGCTCTAGGCACCTCCCTGCATTGTGTCCATATTTGAAGGCTTCTTATCATGAACTCTGACCTGACCCTTTCCAGACACAATGCAGAATCAGGACCCCCCTCCCCTCAGGAGAAAGCTGATGTCTGAGTCAAAAGGTTCTGATTCACCCCAGCCCTGGGAGCCTGGAAACAGGAAGCTCTTTGGAGCTTGCTGGACAAGTCAGTCTAGCTAAATCAGTGAGCTCCAAGTTCAGTGAGAGACGTTGTCTGAAACAATAAGATGGGGAAAGAGAGAGATATCCTCTGGCCTGAGCGCCCATCAACAAATATACACACACAGTGAAAGAAAGAGGAGAGGGAGAGAGGGGTGGGTGTCAGTAATTAAAAAGAAATACGCTTAGGATCGCGGACATCTTCAGCCCATACAATGGTTCTCCTCTCAGGTGGTTTCCAATGCTCGGTGTTTTCTCCAACTTTGGGACTTAGCGCTCTTCCTGCAAGGACCACAAGCCCTTGGGAGTGGTATATCAGATATGCCGCATACCAAATATTTACATTATGATTCTCAACAGTAGCAAAATTACAAGTACAAAGTAGCAATGAAATGATTTAATGGTTGGGATTCACCACAACCTGAGTATTAAAGGTCACAGCTTTAGGAAGGGTGAGGACCACTGCTCTTGACGGATTCGCCTGGTGAGCTACGGTGAAAATAGTAGCAATAAACTTGGATGTGCAAGACTTTCTGTATAGTGATGTCCAATCATTTGGTTCAGAAGATCGTGATGCTTTCCGTTTGTGTGAGATGTTTCCACACCAGTTTCCATAGTGGCTTTCCTGGCTTGCACACCCTCACACAGAGGATCAGTGTGCCCCTGAGCCTTGCCAGCGTTTGTTGTTGTTTGTTCTCGGGCTGAGTTTATGGCACCTGTCGCACAGTCAGATGTGGGTATCAATTGCCTCTGATTCACAAATATGAGACTCATCATTCTATGAGGAGCCATGAAATCTTGAGAAATAAGAAGGCCACTTAGAGAGCTTGGGAATGAGCACAGAAAATCCTGGACAGAGTTCTGGGAAGGCCTACAATTCAGATGTGAGTAACTGAAAACCAATCCTTAAAAGATAACAATAAAGAATGGTCACTGAGGTGGGCCAGAGGCTTCGTTGTGTCACCGGAAGAGGAAAGGGAGCTTTGTAGGTGGTGCCAGATATAATCAAACAGAGAAGTCAGAACTTCAAGGGTTTTTCTTTTGTTTTTATTGACAGCCATTTTTGACCTTATCAAAAACAGTTTTATGGGTGTTATTGCTATGGATGCTGATCATATCGGATTAATCTAGTCAGCTGTAGTCATTTGTGTCTTTCAAAGGCTTTTCCATTTATCCAAAGTTGTCATATCTAGTGGCACAAAATCTTTACAATATTTCCTTCTTGCCACTTTAATCACTGTACAGTCCCTCGTGATGCATTTGCTTCATTCTGTATGTTGCTAG